TATATAAACTCTTGTGCAACGACTCTGTCTTCTGCAACTATTTGATTCCGTGTTTCATTTGAGAGTTGTGACTTTGGTCTTCTGTCCACCCTAAAGCCCTCGCATCTTTCACACACTGAGAAGCTGATTACGAGAAGTGTGAACATATTTATATTTGGGTTTACTTTCATAGTAGATTTGCCTGTGAGCGTGCCCTAAGCATTTCAATGCTGAATATGCTTGATGTTGATTGCAGCACATTAAAAAGTATAGTGGATGGTTGTGAGATGGACAGCACAGTGTTGGCAGCGTGCAAGCAAGTCCTGGTATTCATCCAGGAACTTTCCAGACTAATACTTGGAAATGTGAATGAGGTAGTCGATGTTGCTTTCAGCAGCAGTGGAGGGTGCCTGCATTTTTGACCAGTGATGAATGGTACATCTGGATGTCTGGTCTAATGAAATTGTGTCCCAGTGTGTGTGTGAGGGTACGAGTTGAGAGTCCACAGATTTTGGCCACTTTGTGTCTGGAGTGCTGGCCTCGATGAATAAGACAAGACACACACCAATTGTTTTGGTGCTGTTGAGCTTGTGGCATACCATGCATGTGTGAAGTGGAAAACACACTGGCTGTACAACAACCCTAACCTCACATACAGGCCTCATGCATGTGAAATATATACATTTTCTTTTCCAGGTGAAGACATCATTTATTTAAATTGCAATAAAATCACTAAAAGTTTCTGTTGATTCTGACCCCAACTCATATCACAAGTCCTGCAGCATGATTCCAACATGTTGTGAGTAGCATGCAGTAGCATTTTGCAAGACCAGAAATCAAAATTGGGGCCAGAATCAACAGATTCTTCTAGTGGTTTTAATCTGTTTTCAGTGAAAAAAGATCATCTTTTTTTTTCTATTTCCAGATTTTGTCTGAAAACAGAACAGTGAAATAGGACTTCTAGATTGTCATGTGTTTTCCACGGAAAAAAAATAAGTCCCCCCGCAGTGATGGAAAGGGTTTCTGCCAGCCTGCTCAGCTACAAAAATGCCATGAATGATTTCATTGGTTTTAACTGGCTCAAACCAGGTCCAATGTTTTCCGTCTCCTCTAAACTCCAAACCAAACTTGGGTTCAGGTTTGGGCATTAGTACAAGCCCAAACCCCAAATCTGAGTCCAGTTCAGTTCAGTTTGAATTTGAATCAATTCCTCAACTAAACCGTGAGAGCACTAATCTTGACAGAGTCACCTACTTGAACAAAGTATTTGAAACAAGCGGAATCATAACTGTTTGTTGTTGTTGCCTGTCTCAGGGGGCTCAAGGAAGGACTGACAGAGCTTAACAAGTCCCCAGAATCCTCAAGGAAGCAGGTCAAAGGAGAGGCTGTCAACACTGGCAGCAACAAGTGGTTGAAATTTCCGGAATTATTGTGATTGTCCTGTGTCTTTTGAGTTGCAAGAGAGAAGCATAGCAAATTTGAGCCAATTACAAAAGAAAAACATCATATGGACACCAACCAGTGCCGAAAAAACTTGTTCTTTTCAGGGCAAAATTTTGCCGTATCCGATTTTTTTCTAGTATAAGCCTGATCAGGTCCTTGAACCTGTCCAGATCCTTGACCGGGGAAAGTTGCCAAAGTATGACAGACGGATACCAGCGAGGTCTACTAGGGCTTACTACACATAAACCTTCAGTCTGAAACCGAGCTCACGGCCGCCTAGTGGTGTGCACGCGAATCTTCTGGTCCCTAGCATTCGGATCTTTCCTGCTCCGTAAAGCGCGTCCGACATGGAATGCCATTCATCAGTTGAAAAATGTGGTTTCGGAGTCTATGTGATTCATAAAGCTTACAAACGCGCGCATTCTTCTGAACGCCGGTTCTGTAAATCAAACTTGATGTTGGTGATATCAGATAGGGCCGACTTTCCCTAATAGTAGCCCTCACTCCTTTGGTCGAATCGGAGATCTCCCGACTCGTTAGAGAAAGCGCATATCATGGCACACGAGATTTGTATTGATTTTCATTGGAGCGGCTCGGGATCTTGCTAGGCCAAGTGCAGAGAATCATGAGCATCTAGGGCACAATTAAGCTACCAAGAGGTGTGAATATATCCCTCTCAACGAGAAAGTTTCTTCAGGAGGTCTGAAACCTTACGCTCGAAATCAGCCGGATAAATTTAAACACCCAAGCGTGCCACGGCAGAACGTCTGTGAGGTTCTCGCTCGGTCACATTTTGCCGCTCATGTTGGTCGCGAGCTTATCCCAGGAAGATACGTCTCATCACTGGCCCCAAGATTCGGCGAACAATTAGGCGAGCAGGAAAGAACGTGCGCGAGCCCCACGGTTTGTGACACAGTTGTCAAGTTGTTTCGGAAAGCCTTGAGATGAACAATATTTATTTTATTTCGTCCTGGTGGTGACAATCAATAATTATCGAACTGAGTGAAGGCAATCATGGGAGGCTTCAGCAGCCATGGTATGGTGAGGGATATAAGAATCATAAAGAGAATTTTTTCGTTACATGAAAGAGGGATAAAGAAACTATGTGGATGCGTTCAATCCGTCACGCATCTGCTATGGGAATTCCCTCTATTTTAGAGCTCTTCAGAAATGCAATAGTCGATCTGAATTACTTTATAGCCTCCGGAAACTTCGATATTCCGCGTGGAAATAACACGGCAACTTCTCTGACAATACTGTTCAAATCCGCCGTCACTCCACTGTAATCACATGTCATTGAGACTTTGATAGCCATGCCCATATTTTGCCACGAGAAATGATTAGGGATCACGAACGACTGTTTTCGGGTACCCGGGGAGTGTGGGGACTTTGAAAGATATTGTTTCCGGGCGAGTGCCTTTGGATCTACTGATATCCATGACCGAACACGGTAAGTAGCCGCAGCTACCAAAATCATCATGTCGGCTACAAACTAGATTTTACCATAGTCCCGGCCCAGCTTGACGGCGGGTAGTAAGTCATGTTTCAGGGTGTTCTCGTGTCTCTGGGGGTTTGAACCTATTTAATGTGCATCTTCATCCCTCGGCCTACGCTCACGCATCCCTGTTCGTCTTTGCGGTCATTGTTCATGGAAGTCATCGGATTATTCCCTGCCACATGCCCCTACTTGCACGCCGCTATCTCGTTTCTACAGAGCATTTCAACATACACTACGAGGAAGAAAACCTTTTCTTCACGGGCCGACTACGACATCGACAAAAGCACTGGGTTCCTTCCTCCTTCCCCTCTTCCGCGTCTGGCGGGTGAATTCACCTTTTGGGAACTTGCTTTGAGCGAAGCTCAGACGGAAGTCTCTCTGTGGGACGACCAGTCTGAAGAAGCTTCGGTCAAGCGTACGTCGTCGAGAGCGTGGCGGATGCGGATTTTATCTGTGAGTCACCTCACCTATGCACATGATCCGAGCTCAAGATCGCGGGTAGTGGCCCGTCGTTGACACAAATGCGCTGCGGGGGAGCCTCCGGCGTCTCCAGCGAGCCCATGTGGTTCTCGCTTATCTGACCCATTACTTCATCCACTCTTCACCCCCAGCAGGTCCGGATCTTCCTTTCCTGGTCCCCAAGGCACTCGCCGTCCCACTCGTTGCTGTTTCCCGTGATCTTGGCATTGCACCCGTTCTGACTTTCGCTGACACGGTGTTATGGAATTACGAGTTAATTGACGCGGCCCAACCGACCTCAGCCATCAACATCCATTACCCCAATTGTTTTTCCGGTACCGAGGACGAGTCCCATTTCTATCGCACATCCGCAATTGTTGAACTCCGCGGAGTCGAAATGCTGGAGATCATCGACGACTTCTTCTTGCTACCCGACGTGGAGGACTGTTCTGTGGTCTCCAGACTGTCGCAGAACCTCACAAGGCTCGTGGACATTGTCGAAGATATCAGCGACATCATTCAGAGCGTCCGTGGAAATGTGGACCCTCACGTTTTCTACAATGATATCAGACCTTGGTTCAAAGGCAGCGACGCAAATGGCCCATCCAGTCCTGGCTGGGTCTACGAAAGTGTACCGGACTCGGACATACTGGATCTCAGTGGTCCGTCCGGAGCACAGAGCAGTATTATGCACGCTCTCGATCTGTTCCTCGATGTCGACCACAAGCTGAAGTTGCGGCGCTTTCCTCTGCCCTCCGGAGACAATCTCCGGGCAGAGACTGGTTTCATGGAACGCATGCGGAGGTACATGCCTGGGAAACACCGCGATTATCTACATTCGCTTACTAACCGTTCCCGTTCGATACGCGAATTGGCCCAGCGGACACCGGCCCTGCGTGCGCCTTACGACAATGCCGTCACGGCTCTCAAACAACTGCGGGACCTCCACATGCGGATCGCCTGTCTCTATATCATTACCATGTCGCGCTCCACTCGTCATCTGTCGGATGGATGTCCTATCTCCGCGATGATCACCAAATTGGACAAAAGCCGTGGGACTGGAGGCAGCGAACTCGCTTTGCTACTGAAAGCCGGCCGCGATGCAACACGGCGCAGCCTGCTGAGGGAGATATATTAATAAATGCGGCTCGTAGTGATTCTACAAGAATCATCGCTAGTCGTTAATAGTTCCGCAGAATACTGTCGAAGATTTAGATCTAAAAATACATCGATGGAGGGTTCGCTTGTCCAGATATTGAAGCTATGTTGAGTGGCGGTAAGTGCCACCGGGGATCATTTTTGGACTGTAATAGAGTGCTTTGTGAGGGGCGGTCTACTTGGTTTGGAGACGATTTTTCGACCATTCAGCCGGCTGCTACCCGAGAAAAACATCTCGCTGCGTTGTAGAGTGTGGAAACCAGATAACCATTGTGCCGGTGAATGGAATGTAAAATACTCGCAAGGCAGGATCGCTGTTCGTGAGTTCACATTTCATACCAACAATATGCCTACGCTTCATTTAAGGTCCCATCTATCAAACACGACTTCTGCACTGGCCAGTGACTGCACTTCGCCGACCTTCTTCCGCCATTTGCCGACTTGATAGAACTTTCAAACGTCCTCTGGTTGATTACCGGACTAGCGTGCCATTGCTGTTTAAATATAGGCTATCTAGATTATACGAAGGGTGACGACTACCAAGGCAGTGGGCCGTCCTTGTTGAAAAACACGCCGCTTTTTCCCGAGGGTGTCAAGACCTCCTTGACCATCACTTTGCATCCCTCAGACGGATGCATCCCGATGGCCATGAAGTGGGCCATGCTTGTCGCGTTGAGACCTAAAAGGCGGACAGCCAGTCAGAACACCGCCAATCTCGTTGCGGCAAGGACGCACCAGGGCAGATCGCCACAACGCGGATACCGGTCCCCTTCTCCTCCTCCTCGAACGCCCACTGCAGCGTGAGGTTGTTCATCGCGGCCTTGGTCGCGCAGTAAGTCTTGAGCTTCGGAGGTGGGCGGATCGGAGGGCGGGCTGCGTGGAGAGCCTGCGAGCCGAGGTCGGAAGAGATGTTGATTATCTCGCCGCCCTTGTTGAGCAGCGGATAGAAAGTGTCCTTGATCGCAATGGTCGACGCAATGTTAATCGTCAACACGAGAATATCGGGGCCCTCCGAGTTGGCAGCGCTGATTTACAGGTCAGATGGCCGCCTCAATCCCGGATTCAAGGCAGCCATGCGACGCACTTGTTGATCAGGAAGTCCAGGCCCGGGACGTTCAGCTCTTTCAGCTTCGCTGCGACGGTTTCCTTAGCCTCCGGGATGGATTTCTCGTTGGCGAGATCGATGTAGACCGGGAAGACGCGGGACGTGGGATGGATATCCGGAGTCAACTGAGTGATGGCCTCCTCGGCCGCGGCCATCCGGCGAGCACCCATGAAGAGAACCATATTCGGTGTCTGCGCGAGCTGATGCACAGTGTTATAGCCCAGACCTGGAAAGGTTCGGTGCTCAGCCATGTTCTGAGATTGCACCGGACAAAATGTTATCGCACGAACCTTGGTTGGCACCGGTGATGAACACAGAGCGTATGGTAGTGGACATGGTGAATTAGAGATGGTGGAATGTCGAGGCAGACCGGACAGGCTGCAGAACCCAAAAAGTCGTCTCCTCATATATACCCACCCTAATCCCCCGGGAAGGAGCCGTTCGCCATCGATACGACGCCCACAAGCGATCGCAACGCTTCTTCTCGGCGTTTGAGACGATAGTTTAACCGTCCGGCGGAGTAAAGGAGGCAAACTGTGAGAGTCATCTTGATTATGGCCGAGCAGTCTATGACATCTTCCAGACGGGGAGTGCTTCTTAAGCTCGGGAAGGGAGACGAAGATTGTTCTGCTAACCGCTTTGCACTTCTTGACTGGCCCTCCTTCCAAGCCCTCCTCGGTAACGCAGCCCATCGCATTGAGACAGCGTAATGCGAAAGAAACTGGAAGCTCATGTTAGTTCTTCAGCTGTTCGAACCGGTAAGAGAGAGATGGGATTTCTTGACTTGGGATCATCAAGCCAAGCCGACTAAGACAGTGATGGCAAACCCGGTCCTATTATTGATCGCTTTAGGCCTGCCACTGACAAGCCCGTTATTTGGGACAGACAGCTTTTAGCAAGGGAAATGCACTGTGGGTAGAGAGGGCTAAGAGTCCACCAACGGTAGTACAGCATGGTCTCAGCCGGATCCCCGCGCTTTCGACGTAACACCAAGTCCGTTTCGAGGCAACGCGACATCCCGTGTGCTGCGTGCTGTAATTGTGCGTAGCGAGGTGAAGCACTGGTTACCACTGGTGTTTTGCGGCGCGTTGAGGATTGGAACTAGATTCCGAAGCTCATGACTTCGGGATGTGGTCGGAAGAGAACTTTTGCCGCGGTCAACACGTGTACGGTGGGACGCGACCGCCGCCTTTGCGCTTTGCGCTTTCACACAGCGCATGGGGGAGAGTTCAAAAGCGGTCGTTGGTTTCCGTCCTGACCGAGACGTTGTTCCTCCTTGCCAATTTGACCACATTGGGACCTTGTGAGATCACGGTTGAAACGCAATTCCGAATCATGACGGCTGAAGTTCGCCTAGAAGCTAAGCTGCTAATAGAATTCGAGACGTGCAGCAGCTGAAGGCCTAGATTGCGGCCTGAGATCCGGAACCACCACACGAAGATAGTTTCGGTGGTAATGATCTCAGTGGCCAAGTGCTGGTGTTGCATCCTGTGTTCTGTTTAACGGAGCATAGCTCACCTGTTCAGAAATCACATCTGCGTCGGAATTTCAGCGCTGGGAGACATTGATCGAGGACATCGCAAGACGTCGCGTGGGTCGAAACGCGGAATGGCCTGTCTTGGACATATAGACAGGAGCAGCTTCCATCTCTCGCCGGCATAGGAAATTCATCCGAAAAGTTTTCCGGACGAAGGAGCGTTGCTTGAAGATTGCTGCTGATCATCATCAGCGAAGAAAATAAAAGGCACTCGAAAAGAGCAAAAAGCAGAAAAAGATAACCGTAACGCGAACACGTGATACGTCAATCGGTCGGAAACTGAAATTGAAACTCCGTATCCAAGTCGGGGCTATAAATGGCTGAAGTCCCCCGCGTCGATTGCGCTCATCATTTCCCCACATCCCCCACACGGGCCCCACAGCCTTCTCTTCTTGTATATCGACTACCACCCGCCGTACGACTACACAGCCAGCCATGTCTCTCTACATCGCGTTTCCCATGATCCCTTTCTCCACCATCGTCTTCTACCTTGCCGTTCCCGCACTCATCGTACTCCTCCTCGCGCGTTCCGTGTACCTCCTGTTCTTCCATCCACTTAGCTCCGTTCCTGGTCCTTGGTACGAGACTTCCCCCGTTGCCCTTCGGCCTTCTAAACTCCTTCAAAACTTACATTTGCATCGTAAGGTACGCCGCGGTGTCATCGCTGTGGATCACGACACACGTCCTCCGGCTGCAGCAATGCAAGACTATCCATTCCCTGTTCCAGGAGTATGGACCAGTCGTGCGCATTGCCCCCAATAAGGTCGCCTTCTGCGACGCCGGCGCGATGAAGAGCGTATATTCCACGTACAAGTTCGACAAAAGCGATTACTATAAGAGCGTCTTGACGTGCGTTTACTGTTTTCAATGCGACCTGACTATCACTTACTGTTTCCGCTCCCTTCTGCAGCAATGACAACGACCACGCGTTCGTGCTCGGTTGATTAACGCGCATACATTGGCTTAACAAAGCATTAGAATGACCACCCTGCCCGCCGCTGAGCACTCCATCCGCCGTAAGGCATACGCGTCCCACTACACTCCCTCCAACCTGGCCAAGCTACAACCTGAGATCTTCGAAGTTGCGGGGCAAATGATTAACGTGCGTCGATCTTGATCTGTCGCCCGTGCTTACGTACATCGTCTTCTTCTCTTCTTCCTCTCGCGGTCGACGGCCTTCTGCATCTTACTTGACGCTTCAGGTCCTCAATTCGCAACCCACACAAACGCCGGTCGATGTCCTCTCCCTCTTCAAACACGTTAGCACCTATCTCACTCAGCGCGAACGGAGTCTGACTCGCTTTTCCTAGTTCTCGCTCGACGTCATCGTTGCCTCGTCTTACGGTTTCCGTCTCGGTTCAGTTGGAAGATGGGCCGTCGAAGCCGAGGAGGCACTGACAGTGGCCATCGGGGACTTTCCCAAGCGAGGTGTCCTGGTTCGTCATCTCGTTTCCCGATTCACGCCTGCATGAACGTCTTCGTCAGCGAAGCACTGTGCCGAACTGGGCCTGGAACCTGGTGTGCAAGATCCCTAACGCGCGGTTCCGCATGCTCTGTGAATCGGACAAGATCATGGCGGAGTTTGTCTCGCGACGCGTGTATGAGATGCGGGCGCAGCTCAAGCCTGCGGTGTTGATTCCCGGGCCGACGATAATTGCCCCGACACCCAGTTCATTCTCGTCATCTCCTTTCCTCTCTGCGCTCCAGAGCTTCGGTAGCCGATGCTCATCCCGATCTTCGTCGCCGTCTCCCTCGTGTTCTTCTGATTCGGACAGCTCGTTCACCGAGGATACGGAAAAGTCGTATATGCTTCCTCGACTACTGTCATACAAGTACCCCAGTGGGGCTTTGATGCCGGAGTTGGACGTCATCAGCGAATGCATGGGCCACATGTAACTTGAGCTCTTTTTCGCGCTCCCGGTGTATTCATTGCTCGTTGCAGGGTGGCAGGCACCGACACTGCCTCGATCTCGCTTTCCTACTTCCTTTGGGAGCTTACGCGCCGACAAGACATACTTCACAAGCTCCACGCAGAGATTGACAGCGTCATGCCTGACCCCAGCGTCGTGCCCGACCTCAAGGTGCTCAACGGGATGGAGTACCTCAATGCCTTCATCAAAGAAGGTGCGTGTCTTGAAGTTCACGCTGCGCATATACTCAATCAGTCTTGACCAGGTCTTCGAGTCTATGGTGCGGTCCCGTCCCTGCTGGAGCGCGTTGTTCCGTCGTCAACATCGAAGCACTTCCTCGGGCCGGAAGGCTTTGACCTCATGGGCTATGCTCTCCCTCCAGGCACGATTGTTGCAACTCAAGCCTGGTCGATGCATCGTGACTCCGCGGTATTCCCGTCTCCGGAGACTTTCCTTCCCGAACGCTGGCTGCCGCGCCGTGACGCTGACGCTGACCGCGATGCCGAGCGCCTGGCGAGGATGTCAGCACAGATGATGGCCTTTGGTACGGGCTCGCGCATCTGTGGCGGGCAGAACCTGGCGTACATCATCATGCGCGTCGTGCTGGTCACCGTATTGCGCAATTTCGATGTGGAGGCTGCTCCAGGAACGGACGAGAAGACGATGGATATGAGAGATAGTTTCGTGCGTGCGCTCGATTCATCGAGGCAACATCTCCTGACCTCTGCCGCCAGGTGATGTTTCCGGCTGCTATGGAGTGCAAGCTTCAATTCCATCCGCGCAACCCCGCTTGAATTCCGTGCGCCACCCGCTATCAACACGCTCTCCACACACATACCTCTTCACTTGTCCACCATGCTATCCTGCTCTCGCTGTGCTTTCGAACCTGTTGTACCCCTGTATCGCTTTTTCATGCTTTCTGTTGTATCGTTGTCGACATGTTACATATCACCCTCCCCCCTGCGTGCGATCCTAGCCTCTTGTTATCTGATAGCTACCCTTCCATCCTTATATACAGACCTGAGACATCGGTCATCCCGCTTTTCTGACACAGTAGCAAACCTGCATCATGGCCATTTCCTATTCCACACCGAAATACGGGCACGTTGTGTTATCTTACAGTCGAGAAACCTGTAAGTATCTGAGGATTGAAGTTCTCTAATCCACCATGTAGGTTGCGCGTGTGAAACAAATCAATATGTTGCGTGTTGAGGTTCTTCTCAAGGCGTCATAGCTCAGCTGGGAGAGCGATAGACTGAAGATCTACAGGTCACGTGTTCAATCCACGTTGATGCCAGTTTCTTTTGCTCTTAGCGTCTTATGTTTCTATAATTCTTTCAAGGAACACCCCAATGCGAAGTCTGATCCGGCCAAGCTGTCGTCGCAGCGGGCCTCCGGGTCACCCAGCTAACGCGGTAAGTATTCAAGTTACCTTTTGAATCAACGAAAGTTATCGTGCTATCATGCACGAAGAAGCCCGGATGAGAACGAGTTTCAGTTGACTCTGATGATTTTCGTTACATGTGTTTTGTGCTTCTGATAGCTGCATCATGCATCTTTGACATAGGCACGCTACACGGAATGAAACCGTCTCGACGATCGATTACGTGCCCAACCGTCCTTTCAGCCCCTTCGTATCACATCAGGTATGATCCGGATTCCTCCGTCAGATGAAACGACCCGCTTCAGAACATCACAAAAGTCTGGTCCCTGTGCTCTTGACGTCACATCCCTTTCCCCGAATCTTTTCAGGCGGTGCTCCGGCGGGCTTTCTGTCGTCCTCTTAGCATTTCGACATGTCCGACATACCGTGATTTTCTAGTATGCATTCCGAATCCCGGCCGTGCGCCATCGGCGATCTTCCTCCAATCTCCACCCATGGGTGAGAAGGCCTCGCGTGTTTTCGCTTCCAATCTCATTTTTGAACAAACGTTTGAGCGCTACAACCTCGGTCCAGGCTCAAAACGAGGCACTATCACTATGTCTGCTATCTACACTTGCCGCGAGAGGAAGTGTGTTCCTCGCCTTCGCGTCTGCCGAGTCCATGTAAGTTCGAAGTGCAATCTGTGGGCTGTGCGAGCATGTCACGAAACATCCGCGGCTGGCTGAACTCTGGCGCTCGAAATGCAATAGTCACATGTGCCTTCTGCCATATGCCATATGGGCTTTCGCTTGTTTAGCTGGCATGATTCCTGTGCATCCTGATGTCAAGTATTTAGAGGGCATTCCAATCCTTCCTTCGACGACCCAGTTCTGGCCACATCCCCTGCCTCCACTCTATTACATCTCTAATGTCTGACATGACTCGCGCGGTACTCGTCACCGGTGCAAATCAGGGTGAGACTTCCCCTCTGTGCTCTCTCCGATGTAGGTCCGGGATCCTGAACCTGGGAACTCTTTTCGACAGGGCTAGGCTACCACACGGTGCACCAGCTCGCTCAGACTCCTGGCATGATCGTTTTCTTGGGATCGCGTAGAATGCCGGCGGGGGAAGAGGCTGCGGCAAAAATGGCGCCGGATGTGCATCCGACGTCGTCGGTCATCCCCGTGCATGTCGACCTCGCGGACGAGAAGACCATCTCGGCGGCCAGCGAGTTCGTAGCGGCGAAGCTAGGAGAGAAGGGGATCTCGAAATTGGATTGTCTGGTGAACAAGTGCGTCCCAGTCAAAAATAGCCAGAATGCCACGATATCGATATACCGTCATCCCAGCGCGGCGACGGCGGTCGGACCTGCTACAGAGATATTTGCCGTCAATGTTGCAGGCACCCTCGCAGTCAAGACCGCATTCTACCCGCTGATCAAGCCCGGCGGGGAAATTATGAACATCTCCTCTTCCTTCGGCTCACACGGTCTGCGGGCCGCAAGGCCGTACACGCTCCCGCCTGCGGTCGCGACAGGCCCACCGTACTCGGCAAGCAAGGCAGCTATCAACAATCTTACGCTGCAGTGGGCGTGGGAGGAGGAACAAAAAAAGACCGGCATCCGTGTGGTTTCGATCTGCCCGGGTAAGTCTGAGATATTTTGGTCTGCACAGAAAGACTGGTCCGAGGCCTGAACGCTCTGGAATAGGCCTGAACGCGACTACCATGAGCCGTTTCTCCAAGGCTGGGGTCTCCCCCGCAGTCGGATGTGCAGTCATGGTCAATGAGGTGTTGCAGCCGCAGGGCAAGAGCGGCATCTTCTTCGATAAGGACGGTCCCATTCCGTGGTAGTGATTGCATTTTACCGGATGCAGGGACAAGAGGGTGTGAATACTATTGATCGCAATGAGGCGGCTGTAGTGCATCGACCGGGTTAAGTCACTCTAGTGCACTCATTTGTGCGATTTTCTTCCCGGAATTTCTTGTAATACATTTCCATGTATCTAAAGTTGAGTCTTGCAAATTACTACGGGGTTCTAACAGGTACGGCTCGAGAATTAGCAGTGCCGAACCATCAAAATCAACATCCTGACCTTCTTTTGACTCGTTCTCGACCTCCCATTGCTCCGTTTACTCCGGGTAAGAAGTGGCGAACATGTATTACTTGTATCTACATGTTTACATGCTACGATTGTTGTTCCGGGCGCGTACTTCCGTAAAGTACCAAGGAGAGGGGTTTTATCACAGATAGTCACATTCAGCGACATGATCTCAGCTGATGCCTCGATTGCCGAATCGGCATACTTCCATGTCTTCTCCCATCCCACGTTCCTTTGATATCCCTTTAAGTCTCAATCATGAATTTCTCCAAAACCAACGCCAGGAAGCCAAGTGGGATGAATATGATGAACAGTTAACACCACCAAGCAAGACAAGGAGGCTCACAAGTGGAGGGAGAAATGTCAATTGTAAGCAGAGAGGAAGGGCAAGGCTCAGTCCAGTTCTGCAGTGAACAAAGAATGGATTAGAAAACCCCCTTCAGAACAACACATTTTTTTTGTGTCAGATTTATTCTTCTCCGTGGTCACTGACAATATGTTAGGAATATATTGTGCTTATAGTACATTAGCATCCTTTGGTAGCATACTCCATCCATCAGGTAATGTACTTGGTCATGGCCATCAGGTCCGAAGGTGCCTGTGGTGGGGGTGTGTGGATTAGCAGCTGCCTGTGTGCGGTTGCCATTGCGTTCTGTGTCTGTTCTCATCTCTTGTAGTTGTCACAATCTTTGTGTTTTGCCCAATGTCTCCCATTATCCATGTGAATCTTTCCATCCTTGAGATGTATTGCATCAGGTAGGGTAGCATTTTGGGGGATGAGAGAAGCTTTGTTATGTCTCATGTGTTAGGGCCACTGTTTTTGTTCATCAGTTGGCATGCTGCTTTGTGTGCTGGGCAGGCAAGTCGGTAATGGGCAACTGTCTGTTGATCAAATATCATCTGTCAAGATGGATGTCGTGATACACATCTATGACTCCATCACATGTCATCTAGAGTCATATTGACTCGTACCAAATAGATACAAACAGCCCCCTGTATCATATATAAGGAGGGCTCTATTACCCTTTAATACAAGTCTCTTGACTACTCCTGCATAGTGCCCACACTAAGCTCTCACTCACACAGGTGAGCCGCTAGACGCTCTCCCCAGTGCTCAACAGGTTATGGGCCCCGAGAGCTATGTCTGCGCCTCAGTGGCCGCGACATTCATTGTATGCGCCGTCACTGGCTGCGACGATGAGCAGCGTCTTTAGCCTATCTGTATTCACTTCAGCTGCTGCATAGCGCTGGTGAAACCATGCCGGATCGCGATTACATCGCTTGATCCAGATGCATCAATCTCTAAAGGAGATTATGATCTATGAGGATCTGATCATCTTGATCTTTGATTTCATCTATCAGATTAGATTGATGCTGATCACTCACACAGATCTAACATGTCCAACTCTCTTCTCTCCTCTGTCGCGATCTTCGATGGCAAGAACTGGACTTCTTGGGAGAGTCTCATGACTTCCTTCTTGGAATCTCTAGGTATTGCCTATGTAATCACCGAGAAATGTCCTACTCGCATCACGAACATCGATGGAGAAGTAACCAACGAATCCGACATTCGCCAATGGAAGACCGATGACCTAAAGGCCAAAGGCAGCATTAAGTTGCGCCTGACCGAGGTTGTTAGGGCTAACATTCCAGAATCGAATGCGACTTCCGCTGCTGGGATCTGGAACTATCTGACTGAACAATATAGCAGCACCAAGTGTGACAATCAACCCAAAAATGAAGTCGAAAAGAGAAGTGAATTCGAAGACTGGAGAATACAACCAAGTAGCTACAGTATTTATACCCAAGTCCAGTCTGAGTCATATCTACAACTAATGAGTCATAAGGCTATGTACCGCATGGAACATTGGTCATGGGTTGTAATAGAACCTTCCGGAGCATATGTCGCGCAGCCTTGAATCGATAAGGATAATCCCTCGAACCCCTAGCCCGGGCCGTCTGATGCCGTGATCCGTGATAAGATAAGCCGTGCCGAGATAAGATAAGATCGTCGAAGATAAGATGAAAAAGTGGCCGAACTATGACATTACCCCCTCTCTAGGGTCGATGTCCTCATCGACTAGGCCAATGGGCGTGAAGACGTTCTCGTAAGGGTCAAAGAGTTGTCGTTGGGGATAGGGGAGGCGCTCATCCCTGGGTTTATATCGATGAATAAGATAGTCCCAGTGTCCAGCTTCGAGAGTTGGTAGGAGGCGAATGCGTGTGTCTGGGTTGGATTGTTTCCTCTGCCAGTCTCTCAGGACGTCCTTCGCGTGGGTAAGGTGACGTGATGGTTCCCAGGTGTTCTCGCTGTGCGGCCATCCCTTCCATTTGACCAAGTACTGTTTTCCTCAGCCGACTTTTCGCTCTTTCACGATTTCTTCGACTTCCCACTCCTCTGCTCCTCCGATCATCTTGGCTACGGGTCTCTTCTCTCGGCGATGGGGGGGTGGTTCGTGATAGGGTGTCAACAGTGATTCGTTGAACACGGGGTGTCTTCGGTCCGTATCCGGCAGATTCAACTTCCATGCGGCCGCTCCAACCTTCTCCAGTATCTCGTATGGTCCCAATCTTTTGTCGCTCATCTTCTTCGATGGTCTGTCCGTCTCGATATTTTCCCCTTCTATGTACACCTTCATCCCAACCTTCAACTCCGGAACTTCTTTTCTTTGTTTATCGTAGTATTTTTTCATTTTTTCTTTTGCTTTTTCCAATGCTGCTTTTGCTTCGTCTTGTATTTCTTTGATTCTTTTTACAAATTCCTCCGCCGACTCGTTTCTCGATTCCATCCGCTGCTCTACTCCCTTCCATGGGTGATATCCGTGATTGGCATAGAATGGTGATATTTTGGTAGACGTGTTCATTTTGTCGTTATATGCGAATTCCGCCATTCCCAGCCACTCCGACCAGTCCGTCTGATGGTAGTTGACGTATATGCGGAGATAGTGCTCGATCTCCTGATTCATGCGCTCGGTTTGCCCATCCGTGATCGGGTGATATGCTGTCCCCGGGTTCATCTCCACGCCCAACATCCGGTTCGTCTCCTTCATGAAGCCCTTGATGTATCGTGAGTCCCTATCGGTGATGATTTTGCGAGGGATCCCGTGATAACGGAAAACCCGGTCCCTTGTCAACCGTGCTACTCCTTCGCTGCTGATGTCAGTACTAATGGGTTCGGCATGGATCATTTTGGTGAAGGTGTCACACCACACATGGATTGCGTCATACCCATTACTAACCGGCAGGGGTCCGATTTGATCCATCGAGATGATTTCCCACGGCGCATTTGGAACTGCATGCGGGTGTAAAGTCCCTGTCCTCGCTCTCCTGGTCTTGGTCCGTTGGCACGCCTCGCACGTCTGGATGTATTTCCGAATTTGGTTTCCCATCCTGGGCCACCCGTAGTTTCTTTCCACCATCTCCTGCGTTCGGTTGATCCCAGCGTGTCCGACCAACGGGGTGTCATGGTGTAGCCCGATGATCTTGTCTCGCAGTTCCTCGTCCCTTGGTACGTAGAGCTTCCCATGGTACGTGATGAGCCCGTCTTCCTTTTTCCATCCAACGAGTGACTTCTCCAAGGCCGCTGATAGGCTGGCTACCAGACGCGCTCTGCACCAGCTCTGTAAGGGCGTATTTTTGCGCTTTTACAGAGTTTACTCCTGAACCACTCGGTGTATCGTGTCGCGGTTGACAGTGTTGCGCTCAGTAGGACTTAAGGGTCTACTGCCCAGTCGACGACTGTGGATAGTGTCAACGATAGCAAGGCAGTCAGACCACTACTGTGGAACTGGTCTTATGAGTCTATACCAGGCTCAGGGCCATTAGTGACGAACGCTTGGACCGCGACCATTCCCCAAAAGGGATCTGTCGTTGCGTCGACTTCTCAAAAAGGGTCATTCCCTGCAGATGGGAACTTGGGCTGAAGGACTGAGCAATGCGCGACGTTCTCAATAATAGAACTATTACTGGACAGGACTTGGCGTTACGAGACTTAAACCATCTTGTCGCGGCAACTCCCGGTTTCGAGTTGGACGTTCCCTCAGATCATGCCACGACGACAACTTGTCACATGTCAGGATCCATTCGATCACGGGACATTGTGGACGCGTCGCGGTGACACTCCCAAGTGTCACGGCGAGTCGCGTCCATACCCAAACACACTAAAATCAACACGGCTAGATCCATGAACCGAACCATGTGGGGGACGACTGGCGTGCCTAGAGCCATACGGCTTCTTGGGGCGCCCACGTTGGTCTCACTTGCCAAGACATACTCGTTGGCCAATCCAACACGTCGTATTCCAAAAGTATGACGCGGTGGGTTGACCTACATCAAAAGTATCATATGGACTATGGGGCGGGGTCCTGATCACTCAGGACCTGTCCGATCGTTCAACTTTTCAATTACCCTAAAAGGCAACCGATCTTAGATAGCGTAGCTACTATGCAGTTGTACAGGACTTTACTAAGCAGCGTCGTAGACAGTATAAGTAGCACGTCGTCTCTTTGTATTAAAAGGCTTTCCCCCGGACTGTGAATCACTCTCATTTCAGATTGTTTTGTACAATTTGCGTGTCGCGTGATTCCACCCTAAGAAGTTCTGCCATCCCTGCCCGGTCGCGACGAGTTGCTCCCTGAGCACTTGTAGCTACTGTGATTTGAGTTTGAGTTGAGATATCAGAAAGTCGGATTCGCCGCATCTGGTATTGTCGCGGCATTTAGTGTCGTCGCCTTAGGGCTTTGTTGAGATCGTTCCACACCTCTAGCTTGGCAGTGCGTCGACTAGTTGTGCTCGGGTTGTTTTGGTCAGTTGGCAGTGCGTCGACTTGAGAACTTTGGTTCCACACTTCTTGCTTGGCAGTGCGTCGACAAGTTGTGCTCGGGTTTTGGACATTGGATATTGGCTGTTAGTTGGCAGTGCGTCGACGCGGCATTTTGGTTTACTAGTTGGCAGTGCGTCGACTCAGTACTTTTGGTTGTGTCAGTTGGCAGTGCGTCGACTCGACATTTTGGTTTACTAGTTGGCAGTGCGTCGACTCAGTATATTGGTTGTATCGGTTGGCAGTGCGTCGACTTGATATTTGGGCTTTGCGTCACCATCTAGACGCTGTCGCTACAAGGGATCTTAATACTTCGTATTAAGCTCTGACTTGTTATATTGTTGGTTGTGGATTGGATTAGTGTTGGTTGTGTTCGTATAGGAGATATTGGTTGAGATACCATTGTTTGCTATATATAAATTCTTGTCATCGACTTCGTCTCCGCGACTATTGGATCTGCGTCTATTGAGAGTTGTGATACTGGTGCTCTGTCCACCCCGAAGCCCTCACATCTTTCACACACTGAGAAGCTGATTACGAGGAGTGTGAACGTGTTTATATTTGGGTTTACTTTCATAGTAGATTCACTTGTGAGCACGCCCTCAGCATTTCATCTGGAGCCCACCGCGAGGGGCTTCTAAAGTTTCATAAACTTTAAAAATCAATAAACCGGATTCTTTACCGCGACGACGGATAGAGCCCAAGGGTTTATCCCGCGAAGCAGTTTATTTCGATCCCAAGCTCCTGCGCGACCTCTTGAGGACCAAGCGGAGATTGAGACTGAAGGAAACGCTTCAACTTCAGGACCTTTCGAAAAACCACGAAGGTCTGCAAGACATAAAACACCTTTGTATCTACCACCCTTGCCTTCTAAGGCAAAAGGAAAACAAGGAGTGAATTCGTCGTCAAAGCTTCCAGCTTTAGACGCGGCTACTTCGAGTTCGACGACAATCAGTCGATCTCAGACTAGCTCACAAACCCTCTCAGAATTGTCTAGTAGCGTCACCGCTACAAACATGAATTCTAACAACATCCCTACTTCCCCTGTGACTTCAGTCGCGACAACTATGGCTCCAAAGACTGGGTTCAAAATCCCTCAACCTTGGGACACAAGTAGACCTATACTTGATGAAAAGGATCCCCTGTCGATTGAGGCATATTTGCGTCACTGCGCGCAGATCGTGGAGGATGGTGGCATCACAGATGTCAAACAAGCAAAAAGCATGTACATCCGTTATTTGCCGTCGCGGCAAGTGATGGACGTATGGGAAGGTCTCGATACCTATTCCGACGACACGAAAACTGTCGTGGAGTTCGAGGCCGAAATATTAAAAGGATACCCTGAGGTATCCAAGCGAAAAACGGGGACCATGGCAGATCTAGATAGACTCTGTCGCGAGAACCGTGGAATCAAAATCACGGATGAGGGAGATTTGAAGCGCTTCGGCCTTCAGATGTACAGTCACTACAAGCAACTGTCAGTCCCTCCTGCCATTATTACCAACAAAGTCGCGTGTGAACGCTACATGCGTACTTTGGACTCTGAGTTCAGTACCGTCTTGAGGAACGCTTTGGCTACGAGTCAAGTATTCAATAAGCGCTACCAAACTCGCGCTGGGATAGCAAATGCTAATGTCCCCGCGACTGGAGTCAACCGGCAGGACGACCCCATCCAGCTGAAAGAGCTAATGACAATGGCGGAAGAAATGGCGTCGACGTTGAGTAACGAAGATGAAATTCCCATAATCGCGCGACCTCCAAAGGTTCGCTTCGACTATGAGACTAGTCCACCCAACCATGCTAAGGTTGAGGAGTTGGAAAACTCGATTTCTAACTTGAAGGACTCATTTCTTCTACACCAAAAAGAGCTACAGACTCAGTTGCAGGAAGCGCTGAAGACGTTCGTACAGACTGCTCGCGAAGCGCCTATACAGCGGTCGCGGCCAGTAGGCAACAACTCTTCTGTGCCCCACTTTGAAAGTCGCGCACAAGGAGGAGCTGCCGCACGGAACGACGACTGTTGCTACTGTGGACAAACTGGTCACTGGTCGAACGAGTGCCCGCTCAAGAGGTCTCACATTGAGAAAAACCTTCTCAAAGTCGACACCAAAGGGATGTGGAGGCTCTTCGACGACAGTTTCCTACCAAATGGAGAAGGGACTCAGGGACAACGAGTAGAGGCTTACTGGAAGAAGAAGGGCAAATCCGTCAACTTCCAGGACTCCTACTACTTGGATCAGTGCGATAGTCGCGACAATGATGATATGTCCGACTACCCTGAAGAAGTGGCAGATGAGATACGCTCCCTTCGTAGTCAACTCATCCAATATGAGAGGAAGTCGTCGCGGCCAACTCCAGAGAGTCGCGCTGAGCCGAAGACTCAAAGAGCTGCATCTGGTTCAACCAGTAATGCAATGGAAAGCGCCATGGGCCAGTTCATGCAGAAAGCCATGACCGACGCCATGGCCGGCTACTTCAACAACATGAACAGTGGTTATCCTCAGACTCAGGAGCAGTTCATTCAAACCCGTCGTGGTGCGAATAGCCAACCTGAGCGCGACGATAACAACTCGGGTTTCTAAATGGTTCAAGGAAGGGGGCTAAACCCACAAACTCAGCCAAGCCCTCTGAGGACCATGATAAACGAGCTGAGCGACGAGAGAAACCGAGGAAACCTGTGATTATTGAAGAAGTTAGTGATAGTGACGATGATGAGGAATCAGTGCGCGACAACATCGAAAAGGGAAAGGAACTACCGTTTGAGAAAGTCAAGCCCGTTCTACAAGAACCAGTACATTCTTCAAAAGCGCGCGTTCCAGATAAATACCAGTTGCGTGCACCGATTCAAAAGAAGGCTGTGGCAGAAGCAGTCTACGACAAAATGAAAAACGCGTCAGTCGACGTCACTGTGGGTGAACTCCTAGCAGTTTCGGGAACTGTCCGCGACTCCATTCTGAAGGACTCTTCGAAGAAACGAGTACCGGTTCAGAAGTCCATGCTTCAAGAAACTGGTCGCGTCGTTGAAGACGTTTGGGATGGAGAACTGAGCTACAACCTAGTCAGTGCTAAGGAATTGCCCGAGCCTGTGTTCTATCATAACACAGTTAAAGGAGAAATTCCCATTGGCGCAGTTGTCGCGACGGACCCATATGAGATGTACTTGGAGTCGATACCCTCTAATGAGAACCCAAGGCATGTCTATGTTGGTGATTCGTCGGCTGCTCTCAGAACGATAAACGGACGGATTAACGCGCGTCTCGACGCGGACTGCATCCTAGACAGTGGATCTCAGATTGTATCGATGGCTTTCTCAGAAGCCGTCGACGCACAATTGAGCTGGGACCCAAAGGTCGTCATATATATGGAAAGCGCAAATGGATCTATCTCTAAGTCACTGGGATTAGCGAGAAATGTACCCTTCAGGTTTGGGACCATCTTGGTCTACCTGCAGGTGCACATTTTGGAAAGTCCAGCTTATAAGGTGTTGCTCGGCAGGCCGTTTGATATCGCGACAGAAAGCAATATCAAGAACGCGGCCGACAGCAGCCAGATAATCACTATGCGCGATCCCAATTTAAAGACACGTTGTGCAATGGCTACGCAGCCACGTCGTGCAGACGACTTGCCGCGTAACACTAAAAACAACGACGGATCTACCGAGCCCTACAGTTCGTCGAAACCGACGACCAGTCCAGACGAACCGAATCCGGAACGGGATTTTCAAAGAGCTTCGAGGAATTGACCAGGTTGAGTCAAGGAGAAGAAGTCGCGGTGACTGTATCGTTGGGAAAAGATGGGAATGTAGTGTTCGAGGATCTAAGAAAGCCGCGTTCTAGTGGCCAGTTTACTCAAACTGAGCTAATAGAGGCATATATCTTGTCGTCAAAAGAGGACAAGGAAATGAAGAAAGACGTCGCTGCGTCGACTTTGTTTCATTCATATATGAGTGAAAGGCTCTCAGACGCAGCAACGGAAAAACTGACTGTTGGTACTTGGAGTGTACTAGACGACGACTCTTCTAGTCGCGACAAATACTCGGTGTTCGCAGGGAAGAAATACAAACCTGTGGACCAGAAAGTCAGACCTGTGTACACTATGGGTTCTGAGGACGACCGAATAATTCGAGAAATGGTGGGGGATCCTTTGGATACGCTGCCTACTCTAAACCCGCAACCACCTGATTTTACCCCAACTGGTAGATTCACGACGGAACGCAGGGATATTGTGGACAAGTTACACAAAGGAGACTTCTTATTGCCAGAAGAGCGGAAGTTGCTCATGCACTTCTATATGCTTCACAATCAGAGTTTCGCGTTCAATGATGAAGAGCGTGGCGCATTGAGACAGGATATATTTCCTCCTGTCAAGATCGCGACAGTTCCCCATACAGCATATCGCGAAGGGAATATTCCTATACCTCGCGGCATGTTCGATCAAGTGTGCAAGGTCATCAAAGACAAAATCGCGGCCCAGGTCTACGAACCTTCCAATTCCTCTTATCGAAGCAAGTTCTTTGCTGTACTTAAGAAGGATGGGAAGAGTATCAGACTGGTGCACTCGCTAGAACCACTCAATGCAATTACTATTGCACATTCAGGGTTGCCACCCGCGACAGAGGAGTTAGCAAACCACTTCGCCGGTCGCGCCTGTGGTGCTGCGCTAGATTTGTACTCAGGCTATGACCAGCGTGACATCGATCCAGCTAGTCGCGACTTGACTACATTCCAGTCACCGTTTGGTGCACTGAGGTTGGTCAAACTCCCACAAGGATGGACCAACTCAGTACCAATATTCCATGAGGACGTTACTTTCATTTTGAAAGACGAAATCCCTCATGTTACTATTCCATATATCGACGACGTACCCGTTCGAGGACCAGGAACCAGGTATCTGTTACCCGATGGAACCTGTGAAACGATTCCAGAAAATCCCGGGATCCGTCGCTTCGTATGGGAACACTTTCAGAATGTGAACCGCGTCGTGCACAGAATCGGCTACTGTGGCGCGACTCTGTCTGGTACCAAGTCGGTGGTTTGCGCCGACGAGTTCGCTGTGGTTGGCCATATCTGTTCGTTTGAAGGTAGAAAACCTGACGCGGACAGAGTTGGTGTAATCATGCGTTGGCCAGACTTGAGAGACGTCTCGGAGGTTCGACAATTCATGGGCACGATTGGGGTCATGCGGATGTTCATTAGAGGATTTTCTGAAATGGCGCGACCAATTCAGAGACTGGTGAACAAGAATGCGCATTTTGAATGGGGTGACAAACAGAAACTCGCATTTCAAAGACTTAAAGACGCAATACAAGTCTGTCCGTCGCTTAAGCCTCTGAACTACGAGTGGGACTCTGAGATTGTCGTCGCAATAGACACATCCTGGATGGCCGCGGGTTTCGAAATCTACCAGCGCGACCCAGACGATCCAAAGAAAGTCTATTACGCGAAATTTGGGAGTATCCCACTTACAGAAAGAGAAGCTAGGTTTTCTCAACCGAAGCGTGAACTTTATGGTGTGAAGCGCGTGCTTCAAGCCATGGCTCACTGGCTTCTTGGTTGTAGGAAATTGGTAGTCGAAACCGACGCGCTGTACTTGGCAGGCATGCTAAGGAACGTTGGTAACCTACCAAATGCAAATATCAACCGTTGGGCTGAGGAGATCCTCATGTTTCAGTTTACCTTGAAACATGTCAGAGGAATCACCTTCTCACCAGATGGCTTGTCGCGACGACGACCTGCACCTGGAGATGAAGAGTATCCCAATGACGAAGAGGAAATCTTCGACGAGCCACCACCAAAGAACAACGAGAATTGGGACTACGACACAGAACAACCATTAGACTTTGAAGAGTTCAAAAGGGACATTGACACCAGAGGTGGCTACCTTAACTCTATGGTCGGGTGTGCTGAGTCGGTCGACAACATATCCAAAGAGCTAGTCGAAGCTTGCGACTCTCGTCGCGCTGAGAATCGGCGTGTCAAAGACGCATATGACGCTCAAGGGCTCGTCGTCCCAGTCTTCATGTTGAACGATGTGGCAAACGGAGAACCACTTTTGCCTGATCTTGAACTGCGCGACAATCCTGAGGATCCCTATATTGAGGATCACCGGACTGGCACAGGGATCGAACAGGACAATAAGTTGGTGATGGCTAGGAAGTGGCTGAAAGACAATTCTGTAAGGCCTGAAATGACAGACAAACGGTTCAGATCGTTTCTCAAATTCTCGCGACAGTTTTTCCTCAAAGATGGAAAAATGTACAAGAGATCGACCAATGGGATTCATAGACTGGTCGTGGACAAGCGCCACAGGACTTATATGATGAAGGCGTGTCACGACGCGCTGGGTCATAAGGGTCTTTTCAGCACTAAGAGCCTGTTGGAAACTCGGTTTTGGTGGCCAGAAATGGAAAGAGACGTCGACTGGTGGATAAAGACTTGTCATAGCTGCCAAGTCCGCCAGAAAACTCTCCTCCGCACTCCACCGACGCCGACGATGACTCCAAGTGTATTTCAGAAGATACATACAGATGTCATGATTATGGGAACGCCTTCCAACGGATACAGATATGTCGTCGCAGCAAGGGATTCTTTGACCCGCTACGTGGAAGCGCGACCGCTACAGGCTGACAACGCCAAGGCAATCGCGCGTTTCTTGCTCGAAGACATAGTGTGTCGTTGGGGGTGTCCTAAGTGGATTGTAACCGATAACGCAGGACAATTTGTCGCGGCGTTGAACTGGTTACAGAAGAAATATGGTATCAAGGGAATAAGGATATCTCCTTACAATTCCCAAGCTAATGGCACTGTTGAAAGAGGTCATTGGGACGTTCGGCAGTCACTGTACAAAGCTACAGGGGGAAACGCCTCCAAATGGTTTTGGTTCTTCCCACAGGTCTTGTGGGCAGATAGAATTACAGTGCGTCGCGGGCTGGGTTGCTCACCGTACTTCGCAGTATGTGGGGCCCACCCTACCATCCCTCTGGATATAGTCGAAGCTACGTGGCTAGTCGAATATCCTGACCGGATCGTCGACTCTGCGGATCTCATTGGTCTCAGGGCACGCGCTCTAGCGAAACACGCCGACCATATTGAAGATATGCGCAGCCGCGTCAGCGAGTCCAAACTAAAGATGGTTCAACGCTACAAACTCGAGTACAAGCATGTGATCAAAGATTACAATTTTGTACCAGGGGACTTAGTGTTGGTCAGGAACACAGCTATTGAAAAATCACTGGACAACAAGATGAAAGCGAGATATCTTGGGCCCATGATTGTAGTTCGAAAGACCAAAGGAGGTTCTTACTTGGTCTGTGAAATGAACGGTGCGATGTTCCATGCGAAAGTCGCGGCGTTCCGAGTAATACCCTATTTGGCAAGACAGAAGTTGACACTCTCTGAAGATATAAAGAAGCTGATAGATATTTCGCCTACTAAACTCGATGAGTTGGTGGAGGAAATATCTGACGTCCGCGACTACCAGTTCGAAGGTGTGAAACTCAAGAACTCGGATAGTGACGACGACGACGACCCTGTAGAGGATCCAGCTTCTGTTGAGTGAAAGTCTGACGAACAAGCAATTGTCGCGGCAGGCTCTCGCACGACAAGACGTCGCTTCTCTCAGTTTTAGACAGAATTCAGTATATTGCTTGGGTGCTAGCTGGTACCTAAGGACTATACTGGGTTGTATCTAAGAGAAAAAGGTCATAAGGAGGTGCGCGAGAAGAAAAGACGCGACTTCATAAATAAGTGACATGAGAGAAGAGAGACATATGGAAGGAGAGTGCATATAGAACAAAATATGAAAAGATTAGGCCGCATTCTTCGACATCGAGAGGTCAATGGCTTCCTTGACGTCCTTGAGCGCGGTCTTCCATTCCTCTAGCCGCGACGTGACGTAGTCGCGTTCCTCGATGAGGAGCTCGAGTGGAATGGACCGCCGCAACCGGTACAATTGATGTCGATGCACTCGGTCCGCAATCAACCTTCGGTCGGACGCGGACGCTGCCAATTGGTTAGCAAAGTGTCGCGACAGGAGAGGGAACTGCGAGACTCACCCGGGGCCGCATCAGTGGTACTGTTGCTGAGTCGCTGCCTCTTCGAGCCGGTGACAACGAACGATGGCTGGGTAATTGGTCAGAAATGTAGTCGCCGCGACTGAGTGAAACTCACGTCTGGAAACTCTGGAGACAGCTCCCTAGAGCCTCCATCTGCTCCGCGTGAAGTTTCGACATTTTGGCGCTGAGAAGACGCATCGACCTATCGTGCTCGTCTATGAGTCGAATGATAGTCCCATAGACGTCCGCGAGCCCTACGGAGCCGTCATGACCAGAACCGTCGACCGATCGAGAACCAGACCGTCCTGCGACGGTCTTGCGAGTAGATAGTCGCGGGGTCTGAGAATAATCAACCTGTGTTCGGCAAAGACTCAAGACGGACGCACCTTCTCTTGAACAGGAGTGGGGGCCTCCATCTCGACGTCTGAATCAATGTCGATGGCAGGAGTTGAGCCTGAAGCCTCAGGAACAGGGTCTTCGGCCTGTGCAACAATATCCGTAAGAAAATCTGGACAAGGACCGGGAATCATACCTTGGCCTTCCCAGACGACGACGGAGTCGCAGCAGGACGTGGGATGCTCTCCTGAGCCTGTCGCAGGCTGATGATCGCCGCGACAAGGGACTCATGCCAAATCAGATAGGCTCGATACTTGTTGATGGCCTTAGTCTGGGAGGCGTCGCGCTGCTTCTCTGGAACTTCCTTGAGCAGTTCCGTCTGAGACAGAGCGAGCGTGGTGGCCTCCTCGAGACAATCCAAAACGTTGCGGGGAGGATCTTGAGCAGCAAACGAGCTGGCTTGAAAGCGGGTCTGTCGACGAGATAAGATAATCGCCGCGACACGCCATCACGAATCAACTCACTCGAACAAAGAAAATATCCTTGCCAACGCTGAGGATGCCCTCTGAACCACCTAGACCCAGCTTGTTCATCGCTGCGAGAGAAGGCTTAGCCTTCTTCCACGACGCGACGAGCGATGCGAAGTCTTGGGGGAGAGGAAATGCAGACATAGCGAGGCCTGGGTAGAGAGAAAGAATGGGAACGAAATAAGGACTGAGAATGGGACTGGACATAATCTGTCGAGCCCACCCAGACTTTATATCGTCGACTCTGGAAAAACTTTTCTAGTCGCGCATCAGATAAGCCGAGGACGGCTTAGATCTGTGTTCCTGGGAGAGGGCAGATCTTACGAAAGATCAGCCACAGAGTCCGCAGAAGCCCACACATTGGAAATTGAGGTGCGCGACAACGTGCACACCCCTTGGACCCATGTGCTGGAAAGTGGAAAATCCAATGATGCTACTGAGGACGGGGTCCGGGACTTTTTCAAAAATGTTTCAAGAAAATTCTTCCAAGAATTTTTGAAAATTTGGACTCAAAGGTTCACGCGACAACGACTCAGGCAGCAAGATGTGATTTGGATTGATCTACGACGACGACGATATGTATGCAAGATAATAAATAAAAATTCGGGACCGCGACGTTCACGGACGGTGGAACGAGCTGAACTACTGCTCATCCACCTCCATGGCAGTCTCACCCGCGGCGACGGAGCCCTCGTCCTCGACGTTCTCGTTGTCGACGTTCCCGTCGTCGACTTTCCCGTCGTCGGCGTTCTCGTTGCCGGCGTTCTCGTTGCCGGCAGACCCGTCTTCTTCTTCACCCTCCGCGTCTTCATCCGAAGCGGCCTTGGTGGACTCGGCCGAGGTCTCGCTGTAGTTGTCGGAAAAGTCCAAGACCTGTAAGACGGCTTGGGACGACGACGCAACAGGAGGCGGCGATGGCGAAGGCTGGGGCGACGAAGAGGGCGCACGGGTGCGACTACTCGCCAAGTGGACGACGTCGATCTCGTGGTCCTCGCCAGGTTGGAACGCTTGATCCTGGACGGTCGCGGGGTCCGACTTGTCGAATTCCTGGGCCTTCTCGATCTCCCTCTGGAACTGCTTCTCCATCTTTTCCATCTCGCGATAGAAAAAGGGATCGAAGAAGGCAGGGGGTGCCGCGAACCGCTTGTTCGCCTCGCCATCCAACAAGTCCCCGTGGGTCAAGATCATCCGAACACCCTTACGGATGTCGGCTATCTCGGCGGCGTCGATCTCGGTCGCGGTGTGGACGAACATCGCCTTGATGCGTTCGTCCGAGCCGTCGTCGAAGTGCTCCTTCAGCTGACCAACGAAATCACGGAACTGGCCAATGGCCAGGACGCGGATCTCGTTGGCCGTGCGAAGAAGCCCGCCGTACGCGTCCAAGGTGTCGGCGAGACGGTTGGCGGACTTGTTGAGATCTGAAGACGTCGTCAGAAACGATCAAAAATAGAAATGAATGATAAGAGTGGACTCTTACCGTCCGCGCTCATCTGCGCGATGTACCCGAAGCGTTGCCCCATATACAGCTGCTCCGCGGGCTTGTAGCCGTTGGTGCAAGTCTGTTTATAGAGCACGCACGGGGCGCACCGATTGCCGTGGCGCCCGTCGACGCTCTTGAAGCAGACGCGCTGCCGCGTCACGCACATCGCGCAGGGCCTTGGCGCGACCTCCTATGAAAAAGGGAGTCAGTCGTCGAGGCATGAGAGAAAAAGATAAAAGAACGCACGAAGTCAGTGGGCACCTCTACGCCGGCCCTTTACAACTTCCCCGCGAACCCTTGGCGTGCCACCGAAAGGAGCACCTCGGTGTCGTAGGCGGCGGGAGTGAACGGAGCTCGGGGCGTGGGAGCCGACGCCTTCGCAGGAGTCTAGAAACAGTCAAGTCAGTAAAAAGTCAACGACAAGAAAAAGTCGCGACTCACCGAGTCAGATTTCTTCTTGGCCGCCGCAACGGACTTTTCTGCCTTCTGAGCCTTGAGCTCGGCCTTGGCCGCAGCAACACTCCGCTCGCGACCAAGGGTCGCGGCCACCCTGCCCAACTCACTGTGTGGAGTCTTGGTAGCGGCGGGAGCCGCCTGGGCAACCTAGAAAAGAAAGAAAACGACTTAGTCGACGTCTGGGGACCCAAGTTTGTGTCTCACCTTAGCCACTGGGGTCGGGGTAGTCGTCGTTCGCGGGGCGCTCGCCTTGCGACTGGCCTCCACCTTTGGCACCGGTTGGGGAGGCACGGACTTGGTTGACTTGGACGATCCGTCCGCGACCTTCTTGATTGGCTAAAAAGCTGGATTAAGGGGCGTGGTCTGGGAAAAAGGAGTCGGCTCGCCTTGGGCTTGACGCGGGTCTCGTTGACCTGCTTCTTGGCCACGACGAAATCGCCGGTCTCCTCTCCGCTCTCGGAGGTGTCGTCCATGACGATGACGGACGGGGCTACGAAAGAATGAGTAAACGACAGAGGGGGACAAGAGGAAAACGTACTCAGATTTGATCGCGCTTTCCCCTTGGACTTGGGCCCCTGTCAAAAACAAACCAACCATGAGACAAAGGAATCGCGATCGACGAACTGGGTCACTTACCTGAAGGGCCAGCTCGTCGGCCGAGGACGCGTCTCCCTCCTGAACCCCCTCGTCGTCGACATCCATCGCAGTGTCGGCGACGGCGGCGGCTTCCTCATCGCTGAGGGACTCGGGTTGCACGGGCTGTGCTTGGATCCGGGCTGGGAGGGACCAAGTGGTTAGTCTAAAGATCAATGAAATAAGACATAGGATCACACACCTACGTGCATCTTCTTGTGGACGCGCTTGGGAGGTGATCCCTGTGGAACAGGGACCGAGGTAGCGGCTACGACAAGTCAGTACCCGCGACCTTGGTGAATGAAAAGAAAGAGCCACTTACGAGTAGGCGCATGGGACGACGCCTTGGGCTCCTTTGCAGGAGTCGCCTTGGGTCGCTTCCCCTGCGACTTCTCGCTCGACTTCTTGGCGACGGCGACCTTGCTGCCCGCGACGGCGGCAGGGGCCTGCGGCTTGGAGCCGTCACCCTTCCCCTTCTGCTTGACAGGCCGGGACGACGAAGGGGCGGCGACTTGTTTGGTTGGAGCCGCCTGGGGGTCGATCAGAACATAGTAAACGAATGAAACAGAGTACGCGTACGGGTTCGACGACGCGTTTGCGTTTCTTCGGTGGCGACGACTCCTCGACTGGAGCGTGGGTGGTCGAAAGCGCAGGCGCCGGCTAGCCCTTACGTTAGTGAAAAGAATGGAAGGCCAAAGCGAACAGGCGCGGCAATCATTGATCGCTGTGACTGCTCGCTCTAGCGGGCTTAGAACGGAGCTCACCTGCTGGATCAGGCGGACGTCGACGGCCATCTGCCGCAACATCTGGTTGTAGGCCTCGGGGCTAGGCAGGTGGTGAGTTGGATCGACAAGCCATGAGAGAGACATTGACTGACGGCATGAACTGCCGCCAGTCGATGGCAGGCGGGTTTGCTCCCGGGACAGCTGATTCGGTGACGGCTGATGGACGGTTAGCGTGGTTGAAAAGTCGCGGTAATCGCCTTGGGCGTCACTCACGGTTGGTGTCTTGGGGGCGGGGGCTCTGGTCGGGCGCGGACATGGTGGTCGAAAAGCAAGAGTGTCTCGTACTA